CCCCAAAACCCCAAAACCCCAAAACCCCAAAACCCCAAAACCCCAGACTAATTCACTATTTTGAAACTTTTGGTTCATTAAATATTATTACTTCTAAATATAGAGAGGAATTATCTGAAGAAAAATACATATATTTTGATGATGATGTTATCTAATCTTCAAAAATTCGAGGCTCTTCAAACTGGAACATCTCTGTTTCATAATCCTTAGTAACTTCTTCTCGAGCTTTGCCTTTTGTCTCCTTGATGTATAAGGTTGTTCAGATGAAGCCGAGCATGCACATACCGCTGAAAATAAATAAGAAGATAGAGTTGGCAGTCCTAAATCGTGTAACAACTCCAAATAAATCAACTATAGCCATGTTTATAGATGGTAAAACTCTCATAAATGAGTTTAATGTCCAATGACAAGCCACCATGATTGACATTCCCTTATCAGTTAGCACCTCGCTTCAATACATCAATGGAGTGGAGGCTAGAGTAAACCAGAATGTGAACATGAATATCAGAATGAATATAAAACTTAAAAAATTTGGGATCGTTCTCCAAATAGGGACTCTTGAATTTTCTACAGTCAGCTGGTCTGTAAATTGGAAAAGAATTCATGATCAAAAACAAAGGATAATCAGCCCATATGAAAACAAGGTTTTCCTGCCAAAAATTTTCATGAAAATTATTGCAACAAAGGCCATAATAAGGGCCCCTGTGAAGGTCAAGAATCTGAGATTTAAGACAGTAAGTTCAGTATTAAAAGAAGAATGAAAGAGCATAGTTTTGAACAATATTTACACCTGTTAATTGCTGAAAAGATCTTATTAACACTCAAGCAACTACCTTTCTCCACTCAGCCTTTGCCCATAGATTGCTCCAAGTATCTTTTTCAAGCAGTGACTCTGATCTTTCAAAGGATTGTTGGGATTCAAAAGAACTATTAATTTTGGGTACTATAGACCCTCCTCGTACTTCCTCGGTAGAGGCCGGAAAAGAATATGCTCTTGATCTCTGATGTTGAACGTATAAAGGATTTTCCCTTCTAAAGACGAATAATAGAGCAATTATCTGGATAGCAGCTGCAACTGGGACAACTGAATAGACTTCTCTCCAAATTATCTCATGCTCTTCAAGGTCCAATCAATAATTTATATCAATAAACTCTGGAACTTTATCCATGGGTAAAAAGAAACTGAATATGAGAGGTGATAGAAAGCCAATGTTCTGCCATACTTGAAAGCAGACTATAAAATATTCTATGTATTTTGCTCTAGCAATTTCATAAACAAAAAGAGGAGACACTGCGTTCGAAATCCCAAAAGCAAATCCTGTTATGACTCTTGCAATCACCAATGAATACCATGATTGTATGAACAGTAGAAAACTTCCAAATAATGATATGGAGCTTGAAATTAGAAGAGCTTTCCTCTTTCCGTGTCTTGAGATTCTCCATGAGATAGCTCCTCCAACTGCTGCCATAATAGGGACTATAATACAGATTAGTTTTAAATCCTTTATAAAATTCCTTCTTTTTAATAGGAAGCACTTGCTCAATTACCAACAAAAACTTACAGAGAATACTTGCAATTGTATTGAATGTCCTCCTGGTAGCGGGGTTGAAATCAAAAATTCAAGGAGTAAAATCCCATAGAACATTATTTGACATTGTTAGATAGCCAAACAAGAACTGTCCCATTGTGATGAAGATACTCCAGAATAATAAGTAGACTAATTCTCCCATTTATAATATTTCAATATATTAGAATTATTTTGGGGTTTTGGGGTTTTGGGGTTTTGGGGTTTTGGGG